ATAATATTTTGATAATAAGTGAACCAAACACTAATTTTTTGTTTAACTTAATTGGGAAAACTAACTATATACCAAACGGAGCCTAAGCCTGGACGGTGGAGAGGCACTACATGCAAAATACGCCCCCTTGTATTTCCACTACTGACAGATAATTTGTTATAAATAATAAAATGGGTTAAAATAAAATTGAGCAAGATAATGAACTCACAATACACCCTTGAAACTAAAAAAAAAAACTCTAAGCCCCACCAACTTCAGATACACCCCTCTAGTTAGTTTGACCTTAGAAATGATGACAAAGAGGGTAAAATTGGCATTCACATGAAAACAAAAGATGAAATTAAAAAAAATGAAAAGAATAGAGATAAAATAAGAAAAAATTTAAAAAGATTGAAATTTAAAAAATCAAAATAAGAAAGTACACTAAAAACAAAATTGAAAAATTCAAATAATAGAACAAATGGAAAAACAATTCTTTAATAAATTTTCTATATATTTCTAAAAAAAAATAAAATTATTAGTCATTCTTAAAAAAAAAAAAATTAAAACAAAAAGTTCATAAGATTTTTTTTTCAAATTTTTAGATCAGTTTTTTAATTGTTTAAACTTTAAATTGTAAATAATAATATTATATTATATTTACAGGGTAAATTAAGCTAGTCAGTTCACAAAAAAATATAAGGGTTATTTTTGTAATTGCAGTGGTCAAACACAGTCTAACTTCCAAATCTAATGGCCAACACTAATGGAATCTATCTTGTAGTTTCCGAAGTTGGTAGGGGATGGAGTAATGCTACAGTTATCGAAAGTTGCACACCAAATGACGTAGCAAAATTTTGATCGTTAATTCATTATCAGTTAATATTAATCAACGGTCAAGATTTTGTTACGTTATTCGGTACATAGATTCGGTATGCAACCTTCTATGGCTCTATCATTTTCTTTTTTGTTTTATCACCGTTTTGTAATCAATATAATATTGTAGATAATTTTTCAAAATTTCTACCAATACATGTGATGATGGGAACTGGGAAGCATCAATAACCAGTTAATTTTATATTAATTTTACACTGATTTCTATGCTTTAACTTAGAGATAATGGATAATTAAGATTATATATATTATATATATACACTTCCATTTAAAGATGATTATCTAATAACTAACATTATTATATTACTCTTACCCACTTCTTTTTTTTTTTTTTTGTTTTTTGCATTTCTTTCCATCTCAATTATTTCCTCTCTCATCAATTAAATTTGCATTCAATTACCGAAAAAAAAGCAAAGGAAATAATTTATAAAAATTTATTTATTTATTGATACCTATGAAATTATATGGACCAAAATTATGTTGTCTAATAGTAAAGAAAATCTGGGTTTTTGATACACCAAGAAGAATATTAATCTTCTAAATGCTACTCTTATTTCATATTGAGATATTATTTCAACATTTATAATTTCAATAGCCGATTAAATAAATTTTTTATATAATCTCAAAAAATGCACAAATCACAAAAACAATCAACTTTATGCTACACTCAAAAACCATAAATTTTCTAGTTGGGTAATGCAACGCTCACAAACCTTTTTCATTAACTTTTTCTTACAAACACGACATAACAACTCGCAATGAATCTCGTCTACCCAACAATAAGTCACATCTAACCAATTGCAAGCTACTACGTCACGTTTATGAGAAAAAATTAGTAACAAGAGTTTGTCCGACTATCTTTATTATTTTCTAGTATTCAGTTTCATGATTATGTAATTTATAGGTACATTAAAATTAATTTGGTGTTGTTCAATCTTTGGTCATTTAATACAAATTTAGTTGATTTCATCGTATAGAACTCGTTTAATTTATGTACAAAACAAATTACTTCATTTAAAAGAAGTTAATTTTACATTGCAAAAAAGAAGAAAAAGAGTAATTAATCATATTAAAAAGTGTATATTTAATATAATCTTAACGATTAATTCTAAAAGTTAGAAATCAATATGATAAATTATATAAGCTCGAGATCATATAGTACTAATAAACCCTAATTAAGATACATAAAAACTCGAATTAAAATGTCCAAGACTTTACAATTGTCTGAGCCAAAACTTTCAGATTTGAAACTTTTCTCGTATCATCGAGCGAGTTACATGGTGATAACGATGGCGATGAAGAGCTTAAGTTACCAACAGTCGATGTCGATGGCATAAAATTTGTATTAGAATCGTAAAATTTCAACCTTTAGGAATTGATATCAACTTGATGAATTTTCTTCTTTTTCTTCTTCGGGCTCTTCCTCCAAAAGCATGATTTAGGTTGGCATAAGATTTCTTGCTTCAAGTTGAAGCTTGGCTCCGGCAGGCCACTACTTTCAATAGCTGACGGTGGTTTGACTGGTTCCGATGATTCTGAGATAATCTCTTCATTTGTGTTAGGGTTTCGAGGTGTTCCAGGCATCGTTTCCCATTTGAATGGAACCTCGCCAATAGTTTTAGGATAATACAGTGAAACAGCAAAAGAATTACCAATGGAAGAATTTCTTGAAAGAATTTTATTCAAGAAATCTTCATCACCTTGAAGCACAGAAATTGGTTTGATCTCTTTGTTCTTTTCTGAAATGATAACTTTGCTAAGCATTTTTGTTGGTTTTATTTTCTTGTAGAAGAAATTACGGTGTTAATTATGTGTTTATATGGAAGTTACATATGATTTATATTTGGAAAGTATATAATTTCAAACGATGTCAACTTTGGTTCAAATTTGTTTTTGGAATGTAATGAATTTCGAAGTTTTTATATGATACTTCATATAATACTACTACTACTCATTATTATTATTATTATTTTAATTACCTTCTTAATAACATTGTTGGGAAAATGTTTTTTGTTTTTGGTTAATTTTATGAGCATCGAGAAATCGCTATGTCCAAGCACTCCAACGATTTTCAAAATTTATTAAATACCCTTATTGTGTGTGCGTTTTTTTTTTTTTTGACACTTTTATAATAGTGTTTCTTTTATAATATCAGGTGTTTAAAATAATTTAAAGGGGATATTTAACAATTTTGCAAAATTGCTGGAGCAGTTGAAACTCAGGAGGATGGATGAAATTTATGATGTTCATTTTCATAACAACTGAACTAGCTGGATATATATAAGAATTATAACAAAAATTAGAAATTAAGATGTGGACTACTTATCCCTTGAAAAAAAAAAAATGTTCATTTGCAAACTATTTCAACTCGAAATTGGTTACTTCTTTGGCTAATTCAATTAAAGAAACCACCGAAACACTATATAAATGAAACGTAAAAGAGTAAGAAAAATTTAAGTTTATAGGTCTCTCGATTTCAAGTTCTCTCAGCTGTTAATAGGAGTGATCACTAAAATTCTTACCTGGTCATAGTTTAATTAGTCGAAGTGCAGGCAAACTGGTCGGAATACTCCATTATATATATAATAATTATATATTATTATATATAATATATATATATATATTATATAGATATATATATATATATATATATAAAAGTGAGAAGTTGCTGCTGAAAGTTTCAATTTAATTGATACTACAAGTAAAATATTTTTCCAAACTTAATTGACTAGTTTTATTCATAATATTTTCTTTCTTAATTTATTCAATGTACTACTATCTACCACCTTAAATTTTCCCAACCATCTCGTTGTACCTTTCACTTATTTTTGGCTATAAAATTTTCCACTGATTTTGATAGTTATCAAATCATTCCATTTACAATCTTAAAAATTCTTTCCTTCTATTTTCTTTTTTGTTTTATGTTTCACTCCTTGATTTATATTCTGGTTCTGTAATTCAATTTCATATCATGAGATCGACACAAGTCTTGCTACCAACTAAAAATTAACTAACAGTAAAAAAAAAATAATAATAAAAAAATCCAGATGGGTATGAAACTTAAAAAGCTTATTTAAAATATTATCATTTATAGGTACCATATCTGTTACAATATACATAAAACCTCTCTATAGTCATAATGTTGGAATCAATTAAATTTATTACTATAAGGAAGATGTAATTTAATAGAGTTGTAGGTACAAGAATTATTTTTTTGATTTCTTATTTTATAAATCATGTTTTAGTAGTATTAGGATTTCAATTCATTGTTTTATTAGTATTAGGATAGTACGGAAATAGATATAAAAAAGTCACTGTAAAATTGGGTAATCAGATTCGACAACTTCATTACATTAATCAAATGGATATTAATGTCTTCCTCAATTATTTAATGAGCAACAAGTCGTGTATGTTTTAACCGAAGAAGAAATCATTACTTGAATTAGACAAGAAGAGGAAGAAGATAATCCTAAGGATGATAGTACGGAAATACCAAAAAATTCATGCCAAGAAGCTTTAAACATGCTTGAGAGCTAAAAATATTTTGGCTTCAACAAGAAAGTATCCATGTTGACGGCTTATTACGTACTTACACGATAAAAAGTATGGTGACAACTTTAAAGCATAAATCATTGTCCTAAATAACTTTAGATAAATATTTTAGTTCATCTCAAACTTTTAATGTAACATATTATATATTTTTTGTAATATACATATAATTATTACTATGTAGAGACAAGTCCCTTAAGACGGTACTAGAAAAATTATAACTTATTATAATGTGAAATTTACTTTTATTTATAGCTAGTCTAAGTTGGGACCATAATTTTTTATGACTACATGAAGGTTATTCTCATATAGAGTATCACTATAGAGAGGTTGTATTTTGAATTTTTTTTTTTCTAAATGGCAAATCATGCTCATAATATTAAGTATATATTTTGAATGACTTGAAAAATATATATTTCATGCTGAATCCATAAATAAATAATTACAAAAATAAATATTGTATATTTTACGTGACACTTACACAGGACTAATATATATATATATATTGGAAAAAAAAGATACAAAATCAAAAGTTCATAATTACTAGAAATAATTACTTATTTCATAAGTTACAGCAACCCTAAATAGGCCTTTAATTAGTATCTGATCGTTCATCTTTTGGTGACGCGAACAAGAACCGAACTGAGATTCAAAGGACTACAACCAGAAAGCTGATGGTGATGATGATGAGGACGATCTACTGATTCCCTGGCGGGACTCTGCAATCGCGACGAATGCGAAGAACGTATGTTCGAGAAAGAAAACGAGGAACAAGAAGAAGAAGAAGATCTTGAATCACCAGGTGAAGATGATGAAGCCATGAAATCTTCATCACCATCCGAGCTATAAAACTGATCACAATTAACAAAATTATCTGAAAAAATCTCATTATTCGCGGCTTGAACCTTCTTCTTCTTATTATTATTATTACTCCCTTGACTTTTCTTGCTATGTTTCCAAAACATGAGCCTTGATCTTATCGAAACCCTAGGCGGTTCGTCGACGTTAATGCATGGCTTCGGATATCCTAAGCTGAGCACCGCGGGCGGTGGGCTAAGCGGCGGGAGAACGTCTTCTTTCGGGGGATCTTTGGGCGTACCCGGCTGCATTTCCCATTTAAAAGGAACGCCTTCGGGGCTCCGGTAGTAAAGAATTCGCGACGAACATCCCACTGACGAATCTTTGGAAAGAACTCTATTGAAGAAGCAGTCTTCTCCTTCAAGAACTAAGGAAGCCTTTCTGTGATGGCTGAGATTATCCATTAATTTAATTATTTCTCTGGAGAAATAATTGAGTGGTGAAATTAATAAATAGTGGAATTGTTTCTAAAATTTGTGAGAAGAAGAAGAAGATTTTGAGACCATGCAAAGTTTTTGAGCTTATTTATAGAGAAGTAAGTTGTCCGGATTTAATGGAGAATGATGTAGTTTAGGAAGCATGATCCTTTTGTTTTGACAATTTGAGAGCTAATTAAGGTTTAATTTATTGGTTTTTTTTTTCCTTCAATCTTTTGGGTGGTAGATTTAAATATTAATTTTAAACTTTACTCTTCATCAGGTTCTTTTAGTCAACTCTCAAGTGGGTAATTAAGTAATTAATAATACACGTACAAATTATATATACTTAATCACATATTTTAATTCATTGTATATATATCACACATTTAGTATTAAAGCGTCTTAATAATTATTGGTTTGACGGTCTCGTATATATATTAGGTCTTAAAAACGGATTCACGTTACATGTAAGATGTGTATGCATGCAATTAGACAACTCACAAGTGATTAATCAAGTATTAATATACACTAAGTGCTTTAAATGATAATCTTTTAAGTGAGTACTTAATACGTTTAATTAATTAATTAACATTTGTTACTCTCCTAATTAATGTTGCTTCTCAATTGAGTGACTTGAATTTCTTTTTGATATAGACAAGCAAACAAGGGAAAATAAAGGTAAAATATTTATCTTTGTTATTAAGTTTACGTTAAAAAAAATTTATCAATGTTGGGCGGTTTCTGTCGCATGTGCAAATTACCAAACCCTTAAGATATGTACTTAATCTTTTCTTGTTAATTACTTACCTCCTTTTCTCATTCTCTTTCCCAACTAGCCACGTGTTGCCACAGGATTGCATTGTTAAGAATGTGAAAACCCGAATATACCCCTAAACTTCTTGATTTTGAGAACAAGAAGGCCCCCATCTAGCTAGCTGTAACATGATCATCTAGTTTCAAATTAAAGGTTCATTGACTTTATTCATATTTTTTACTTTTGAGATTTTTATTTTTATTTTTTATTTTTTCGAATTTGTGTTAGTCTTTCTCCATGTGATTTCAATAGCAATTAGAATGTGAAGATGATTATATTAATGAGCTCAAGGTGGTGGTGGTTGACCAACCAAATAATTAAAAAAAAAAAGAACTAGGATATTCCTTGTAATTATAGTAAAGTTGAAAAAAAAAAAAAAGGATATCCAAGCGAGTATACGTGTCAAGACGAGAGATAGAGTGATTGCTCTATAATAAGAAATTAGATATTAAAATGAGAAATGAAGATAGCTCATACCATTCATTGGATTTTTAGTTGAATTATTCAAAGTGTTGAATTGGGGTTGAAAATTATTTACCCATTTCAAGAAGAATCCCATGATTGGATGGGTTTAATTATATGTTTTGTGAGTTTTGAGTAATTAAATAGCAACTTGTTGGTTTACAAAAGTTTTAATGAATTTGCAAAGACATAACTTGCACTAAAACATTGTGTTGGCATGAGCTGTCTGTGTGTTGTAAATATAGGAACACGTTTGGTTAGGTAACAGATCTTGTATATTAAATATAAGAATATTTAGTTTCTTTAGAATATGATTGTTTTCTACTTTAATAATGTAAGCGTATTTATAAATTGTCTCCAACTTAGAGGAGAAAATATACAAAGAATTATTCAGAGACTCCACTGTTGAACATGATATCAAAGCAATTCCGAACCTAGGAAATCTACTCAACACGAATTGAATTTCGTATTCCCTAGCCCAAACTCGAAAACCAACATCACAATCATTTCTTTCCCATCTGAAACTAAATGGCTGAAACCAACCAATCCATTATCCCTGTTGTCCCACACAACCCAACACCACCAATTATTATCCACCAAGACAATTATGCGTTTCCTACCAGTATCATACTGGATGAAACCAATTACCCATTATTGTCTCAACTTATGGACATACGTATTGGTGCTCGCAACAAAACTGGATGTCTCACCAGAGAAACAAAAAAGCCAACACATGAAGATCCCAATTTCGAAACATGGATTATCGAAAATCACAGAGTAAAAAGTTGGCTTATTGACTTAATGAGTCCACTACTGATGCAGTGATTTATCCGTCTTTCCACGGCCAAGGAAATATTGGAGGCTATGTCAAAAACCTTCTATGATGGATCGGACGAAGCCCGTCTCTTCGAATTGAATAAAAAATCTTTTTTTACCACACAAGATGGTAGATCATTGTTAACTTATTATAACGAACTTGTTGCTATTTTCTAGGAAATTGATCATAGGACTACTCTCAAGAAGGAACGGTAGAAGGAGTGGTCCAATTACATTCCGCAATGTCTAGGCTTCGCGTTCATATTTTTTTGAGTGGACTCGATTCTGAATTTGATCAGGTTCGTGGAGAAATCTTACGAAAAGACCCAAAACTTGATTTGGAGAACACATATGCATATGTGAGGAGAGACTATCAACAACGACAGACAATGGGAGGATCTTGCCCAATCTCTGAGAACTCGGCTATGTTGGTCAGCCAAACTTGGGAAGGATCATTAAATAATCGAAATAATCAATCAACTAGAAGGTCTAACAACCTTGTATGTAATCATTATGGTGAAACAGGCCATTCGAAACAACGATGTTATGAAATCATTGGCTATCCTAAGTGGTGGGACTTCTTAAAAAAAACCAAGGAAGAAGATTATAGGGAAAGCTATGGTGACATCTACGCAGGAAACTCAATCAAACAAAGAAGACAAATTGCAGCCTATAGCAAATGTTGCTCACTCAAGTATTATTGGTAAGGCAAATGTCTTCTTTGCCATTTCTAAGAATAATACTTGGATTATTGATACAGGTGCATCCGATCACATGATTAGGGACTCTAGTCAGTTACAATCCATTCGTCTATCTTCCAAATCTGTTATATCTACAAATAATGGCAGTACCTCTCCTATTACTAGAGAATGATCTGTACTATTATCGATTACTCTCACATTGAATATAGTCCTTGTTGTTCCATCCCTTGAATATAACTTGTTATCTGTTAGTCAAATCACCTCTACTCTTGCTTGCATTGTAACTTTTTAGCCCTCTTTTTGTGTCTTTCAAGACATTCTAACTCGAAAGATTCTTGGTTATGGTGTTAAACGGGGCAAACTCTATTACTTGGATTTAACAGAGAATGGGGGACAGAAATTTAGTCAGGCATACCAAACTAGTAGTGAAGAAAAAGCTCGAGCAACCATTTGGTTATGGCACCGAAGATTGGGACATCTTTCTTTTGGATATCTTAAAAAATTACAACCACACCTGTTTTCAAATATGAATGATTCGGACTTTCATTGTAATATTTGTGAACTGGCCAAAAGCCATCGTATTCCTTATTTACCAAGTTTGAATAAAAGTTCATACCCTTTTAAGGTTAGACACTCGGATGTTTGGGGTCTTGCAAAAATTCCTTTGATTTCTAACACTCGTTATCTTATTACATTTATTGATGAATATACTAGAATGACTTGGGTGTCTCTGCTTCCTAAAAAAAGTGATGTTTGTACAACATTTCAAGAATTTCATAATATTGTGAGCACTCAATATCAGAAGCAAATTCGGGTTTGTCAATCTGATAATGCGATGAAATTCATAGATACATCCCTCGGAAAGTTTCTAAGCCAACGTGGGAATCGCCATCAGACTTCTTGCACCTATACTTCGCAACATAACGACTTGGTGGAGAGGAAGAATAGGTAGATAATGGAGGTGGTTCGTGCCTCCCTGTTTGGCATGAACATCTCTCGGTTCTATTGGGGAGAAGCTGTGAAATCTACTGTATACCTAATCAATCGAACACCTTCCTGAGTGATAGAGTTTCAAACTCCTCAACAAAAGATGCAGTCTCTACTTTCAGTTCCTCATCTCCCGAATCTTGAACCAAGAGTCTTTGGTTGCACGATATATGTTCACATTCCTAAGACTTTGTGAAATAAACTTAATCCATGTGCCAAACATTGTGTCTTTGTTGGCTATTCAGATTTTCAGAAAGGATATAGATGTTATGATCCTCAAACCCAAAAATTATATGTGATCTTGGACACCTCTTTTCGTGAATCAGAACCTTATTATTTAGGGGGAGTCTCTATACCTTCTCTTCAGGGGGAGAACTCTAGTGAAGAGAATATGTTACAAGAAGGAAGCAAAGGAGATGAGTTTTTAAAGCTCGAAAAAGTGAATGAAAGAGTTGGAAGAAGTGATCAACAAAACTTTGATAGTATTATTTATGTGATTGAAAAGGTCGTGTTGGCTCCTTCCGAAAATCATTCGGAATCACCAATGGCTACAGAGTTGCCCATGTTAACACCATTAACTGAATAATCAACCCATAATGCTTCTCCTCAGGTAACTTCCAGTCTCATATCTCATAAGTCTTTAGAAAATTTGGCTTCAAGATATCCCCAAATTTTGCTTGATAATTCATTACCAACTTGTGGTTGCTTAAATAGCAAAACCACTTAACAGCCCATGTACAAGCAAACCGAAACAAAAGGAAAATTAGAAGCTAACAACTGGACTCAAACACACGTAAAACAGAGCATGCAAATACACTTAAAAACAGAGCATAACGGAAATAACATGCAACAGAAAGATAAACGTGCGGCTTGTAATGTAAACGTGCTACAACACTACAGAAAAGGAAATCATGCAACATAGAAGTAAAAGTGCTGCTTGAAACTCTCTAACTGATCACAACGGCTTCTAACCCAGTCCTATGCTTCATTCCTTGCTACACGCTACACGCATGCAATGTCTTCTACGTGCATGCAACGTCTTCCTCATCCATGCAAAGTCATGGCCTATTAATACTTCCCCCATCAAGTGGATCCTTGTCCTCCATGTCCATATTCGAAAACATCTCCTATAGCTTTTTTTTTTTTTGGCTCCCACATTGCCTCCTTGGCTAGAAGATATTTCCATTACACTAAAATTTATCCCA